TTGAGTTAATAGCTTGCGTAAAAAATTTTGTGAGCAATAATGAGAACTTCGTCTTATAAACTCCAAAGACTCTAATTTAAAGACCCTATTTCAAGCCTTTCCATTTGGGATTTGGTCATAGTAAAATTTCTATTTTATTGAAAGTTTTCTCGTAAAATTGTTTCGTACTTTTTGTTATATGCCGATTTGATAATTCCAGCAAAATTTTGAACACTACTGTATGAACAGCGACGTGGAGAAGCTAGAAGGCGTACTACCACAATTCTGTTCGACGTACGGACGAAGCTGCGGAATTGAGAGGTTATCTATATAGATCGTTGTAAAATCTAAGTTCAACTTTCGTGCGTTCAGTGATTTTCCAAAACCCGGTCCTCTTCTTGAGTCGAAGGAGCAATTCAAAGAGGAAACAGCTCCAGCTCCAAAAAGGGATACAAAAGGTTTTTGAATAAGATAGCATTTAAAAAAATGTTCTGCCTACTATTACGGATTTCTGCGGTAAAAAATAGTTTTTATTAGGTAGTTAGACCTTTTATTTAACAGTAAGCTGCTTAAAAATTGCGAGGTCGCACTTTAAGTGTTTGTTGAATCTCAAAAGAATTAGATTTTTCTCCATGGTTTAAGTTAAGAAAAAAGCGACAGTGTAAAAGCAAGCGACTACTTCTAAGATTTTTTACAACATTATTTTTTTGAATTTACTGTTAAATGCTTTTAATGATAAATGTGGTGAACTTTATTTATTTTTCTGCAAAAATTCAGGTACTATATATGTCCCAAAAAGTAAGCATCGCTGAAGGTTGCTTTGCACCTATCCGCTTCTTATGAAACGCGCATTACCTTTGCACTAAATAAGAAATTTACATTTAGGCCACTCTGATGATTACTGCAAAGATTTCGCAAGCCAATATAATCAATTATGCAGCACAGGATCGAAATCTGCTAATATGGAAGATTTTTGCGGTTCCTATAAGAAAAGCTGTGAAAAATCGGCGGACTCAACATCAAGTACTAACAGGCAAGCCTTTTTATCCCTGAGAAATTCTCTAACACATAACTGAGGATGTAATAAAAATATTTTTTTCAAGATAGATTGTTTAGTACGGTAGCAAAGGAAATTGAGGATCTAGAAGAACCTCCTGAGCAGACTAGTGGAGGAACACCGGCATTCACAAAAGAGGAAGAGCCTGACGTACGAAAGGTAATTTTCTAAGCATTAGTGGTGAAAATTACGGCTGTTTTTGCACCATTTAGATGTTAACACAATTGAATAGTTTTTTCTGAGTTTACAAACTATACTGCGAGGAATGAGCCTGACCTTTCTTCAGAATTCACGAATATCCAGATATTGCGACAAATTCTGGGACAACTTCAATTATTTTTGTGCTGGCGAGAGTTCCGAGGAGAACGACAAGTTTTGCCGATCCTATCGCAGCAACTGTCCGCAAAAAGTCGGCTCGTAGGTGTTGCATGAAGTCCACTCTGTCCACGATTCGTAGCATTAGGTCAAGCTAGGAGTAGTAGTGCTGATTGTCAGAAACAGGAATGATTCATATCTCACATGAGGTACAGAACGTTATAAATGACTTTGCGACTCATATCACTTTGTTTCTCAGTTTTTATTAACAATTGTTTTAATGTATTTTAACCATAGAATTTCCTAAACAAATATAGCTGGAACTATGCCTAATTAGGTTTTGGTAGTAGTTGTTTTATTGAACGTTATTGATCTCTCTGTTTTCATATTTGTAAATAAGATATCTTCAATTCTATTCGTTACATTTAGGTTCAAATCATCGGCATCATTTCTGGGCAATAAGGAAAAGGTACGAATTGGTTGTAGAATCAAACGCACATAATCATCTAACTAGCCGCTAGCAAGTCTAGATTATAGAAGGTTAATTGTCAAGACAAGCGAAGGGCTGAGCCCTCAACCGTTCATGACTTTTGCAAAAAAACGTGATTTCACATAAAATTAAGTCGCAAGCGTCGCATCGCCATAACTTCTTTCAAAATAGAAAAGGGTGTTAGGCTTAGCCCGTCCAGACCAATCTTAAGGTATGACACACTACACATCGCGTCCGTCTGAAACTTTGCGTGGAGTCATATAACCACACCCCAAAGTTTCAGGCGAATTCGTTATGTTGAGTTCCTACCATATCTAACATGCACCTTAGTTAGTGTAGTGGGGCATACTTTAAGATTCCTTTGAATGAGCTGAATCTAACACGCTTTACCTTTTAAGAAATATCTATTTTAAAGGAATTTATGACGATGCGACTCTTGCAACTTAGTTTTATGTGAGATCACGTTTTTTTTT